AGTAGACATTTCATATTTAGACTAGTTGGCATAAGCTGTCAAATTTAGAAATATAAATACCAAGCAGGATGCAACTCTTACATATTTTATCTTATCACATAGTAATCATATTTTCACATGAGTGGTATCAATTCAATGCTCTACTTTAAGGCTTCTTATTTAAGCAACTAGTAGATGGAGAGATTGACAATAGGAATTAATTAAGATGAAGTACAGCCCAGTCTGTACATTCAAATGTGATGTTGTTTATATTGTGTAATGAATTGCAAGGCTTAATCAAAATTAGACCAGAAGTCTTTCTTCATGCAATTATTTCTTTTTTTGCGATTTATTGCAGCCTCAAAACTATAGAAAAGGCTAGAAGTCACACCTTCATGTAATCTAATTAGAAATAAAATGGGATAAATTTTTGTAACCAGATGAAATTAAATCCTAAATCTTTATCTAATGACCTATGAAGCTTTATCACTGAGCCATAAACCTATAGGTCTTTGCTTATTATTAATTAAATACAAGAAAAAATTATTAATTTATATAATTAAATACAAGAAATAATTATTAATAAATATAATTTTTTATAATTTTAAAAAATTCAAATTTTGAAAAAAATTTTTAATTTATATATATATATTTACTTTAACTTTTTAAGTAAATAATCTTTTTTATTCTTAAAAGAATATTATTTATCTTAATTTAATTTTAAATTTTTGTTTATATTAGATTTGGTAATGTTTGTTACTTCTCTGAAGCAAATTTAGTTTTTTCTCTACTTGATATATATAATTTGATTTAGTTAAGCCTTACACTAATTGATATTTCTTCTTTTTCTATTTTATGCTTCTATTAAACAAGTTCCACTACTTTTTCTCTCATGATCCTAGTCATTCTTTTTCTTATAGAAAGTACTGGATTAAGTAAATTAATTAAATCTTACTTTTTTGGTAATATCGATCATATAACTTAATTAGAAAGATTTTAATTAAAGAATGGTTTTTACAATGATACTATTTTAATTGTTTTACTATTTTCACCACCATTTTTCTATTTATATTGAAACTATAAAAAAATTATTAAAGAGAAATAAACTATTAACAAACAAACTATCTGGAAGAATTAATAAAAAATCTATTTTAAATTTTTATCATTATATTATGATTTTATGCAAAATTCAACTATCACTTCAAAGTTTGAGGTACGCAACACATCAAATCACGTACCATGATCAGGTTCCATGCAATTTTTTCATCAACAATATATATGTTCTTATGCGTTTCCTTATGAAAAAATAGTATAAAATGCCATTGGAAAATGAGATTATCGGATTCTTGCCATTATATCATGGCATGAATACAGATTTATTTGTATTTTTCATATTCTTTAACATCAACTTAGCTCAATCCCTCCTTTTATTTGCTGAAGGGTAATGAATTAACATAGCATTCCAAACATTTTCACATCATTCACAAGAATCAACCAAATTAATGAACTTGATGGACCTATACTCAACCGCATTTGATATTGAGAGTTTTTTGATAATCTTTGCGTCTTAATAGTTGATGCTGCTGGTTTACTGGTTTTTGATTTCGAAAATATTGTTTTGTAAAAAAGACAACTATATATGAAAGCAAAAGAATATTCGTTTGGGTATTGTTATGGTTATCGAATCTCTTCGGCACTAATATCTTCATGCCCTTGTTCAAGATTATATAACGTGTGCGCAATTGCTATCTGAAAAGTCTTAATACTGAAATTATTTTACTCTCGAATCCTATAAGGACGAAAGAAAAAAAAATCACCCCTTAAGTTTTGTTAGGAGATATTATATATAGAGGAATTGGAGCTGTTTTGATATACAATAATTGAAGATACCCGTTTCCTTACACAACATAGATTTTCAGCACATCTAAAAATACAAATCTTACGTGATCGATCATGATTATAAAGATTGATTCTAATTGATTTGTTTAATATTCTTTGAGGCTAGATAGAATCTTTGGCTGAATCCAAATCACATTATTATCCTGTCTCTGCTAACTAGAGTTGAATTTGGTCGACTGAATTATATATACATTCTTTATTTTTTCCGAAATAGGTTAGGAATGCAAACCTTCCTGTGTATTCCTATTAAGGAACTTTATATTAATTAATAATCAAAATAAGGTAATATAACCAAATGTGAAATAAGCGTACCATATACTGTGCCCATGCTAATGGATTCCCGGGTAAGTCATTTATCCCAATATTGATCAGCGAAGACCTCTCATTTGCCTGATCTGATATCAAGGATTCCAGAACTCAACAAATGGTCACAACTCAGCCCTTCCACTTCTATACCCTGTGATTTCGTTTCAATGCTCTCCCACGCTTGCTTTTGCTTCGCCAATTAATATCTAAAATATAAAAATGGAATGAGTACAAATCATGAATCTTTCTGATTTCTTGTTTTAGCGAAATTAACTTTGAATTTATATCTTCCCATCAACTAATTACATCGATTTGATTTTTAGAAAGCATATATATCACTATCGACTTCTAAACTTATTTGTAAAAATTACTAGAAAATTCTTAATTCATGTCATTAATCACAGTCGAGATCTAAGATAAATATATAAATTATAAAATAATGTGGAAATAAATGAATAATTATAAAATAATGTGGAAATAAATGAATAATTAAAAAATTTTAAGAACAGATTAAATATTCGATTTTATATCTCATCGAAAATGTCGACAATTATAGAAATAATAATATTTGTAGCTAAACTATCACACGGGAAATGATGTCCACCATAAACGACTACAGTCCATTCACATTCACTAGAATACAATGTAGATAACCTAGTGATTCATCGTATCAAATGTTTTTCCTAAGAGGATTTTATGAACTTACTCGTTCTCTCAAACTTCACATTTTCCGCTTTAACATTTTTTATTGTTTCTAATATTTATATGAATCTTTTTACTTCTTGCTCACGGCTCCACTTCAGCTATTAAATACTATACTTGTAAAGATTAGTGGCAACAATGATTGTTGAAATAGGTGTAAAAATTTTCTTTCATTATTAGAAGGTTCATTTAGGAAAACAGTGAGGTCACTGAGTGACAAGTAATGATATTACCCGTTTAAACAATTTGCATTTCTCCTTCTGATAGGGTATTTTGAAAAATAGATTTGGAAATAGGAAAACAAGGCAATGAAAATTACTCTTGTTTTATGAAATATGATTGCGCATTCGGATCATCAATGCATTGTCATATGATTCCGCTAATCCAATAAAAAATTGACGCAATAAATTACATATATTATTTCAATATAGTTGACAAAAAAATTTTTTTTCTTAATAAAGATCATATTTGAAATATTTAAAATATAAAATCAATAATAAGAAATCATAAAAAAACATATTATCTATGAAATATTTATATAAGTTATAAATTTAAAATTCAGACAAGTTAACAATTTAAGTACTAACATATTATATTGATTAGATTAATTGATAAAATAACCATATTCAAATGATTACATATTCTGTATATTATCATGTGTAATATATCATTTTTATTTATATACGATATCTATTATTTAAACCTTAATTTAAAATAAGAGTTATTTATTCAATATCTCATTAATTTAATTGACTCTGAACATTTATTTTTTATATTACGAGCATTATTATAGGATCGATATGACCTTTTTACATAATTGATATACTGTATATAGTATTAAATATAAATTCATTTTAAAGGAGTTGGACCTTTTTATGTATTGATTAACGACCAGTTCCACTACACTTTTAAATTACAGTATATCAAATAATGAAATCCACGATAGCACATAAACTATTTTATTTACTAGTTTATTGTTGAGAAAACCCGTGGCATAAATGTTCGTGTAGAGTGCAAGGAATATAATTTTACAATAGATTCATTTAATACTAGTACTAATCGCATAACAGGGGTTTTTTTTTCAATAAAATACCTTGACGACCAACAATCTAGTAGTAAATTGTATTAGATTATTCTTAAAAAGGCATGATCATTGTAGTATGGTGTTGGGTAGGTTATAGAGACATGCAATATATGGTATATTGGCATCAAACATTATAAGTGTTAAGTTTACTTAGAGCGAAGCATTTGCGTGAGCTTATTGAAAAATAACTTGCTCCATCTTCTCTTGCTAGAGGAAGAGTAAAAGACCGGCAAGTTATCAGCTACGCTGAAAAATTATCGATCAACATACATAATTGTTCACACTATACAAGGAAAAAAAATGAATCATTAATAAAAAGGTTACAAACCAAATATCAATGATATGAAATGATGCCAATATTATGGGAATTTTAATTTTATTTAAAAAAAAATAAGAAAGAAGATAATTATGACAGAAAGGTATGAAAAAATATATAATCTATTTGTTTTACCAATCCATAAATACTCAAATATATCATTTCTATATTGTAAGGTCATTTTATAAATATCTGATCAATGCGTTGATTGAAATCACCATTGATTTATAGAAAAAGTGATGAGAGATAAGTTTTAAATAAAGAATCAACAAGAAAGTAACAAAATTTTGATAAAAAAATATACTGTGAAAAAATACGTACAACCAAGTACTCAATTGTTTGGTTTTTTTATTTAAACCTGCCCTGTTAATTTCCAAAATATTAATTTGCATATACTGTATAACTGTAGACGAAAATGATTGAACTTGGGTCGGGTAAATATTCATCACAATCTTTAGTCATCGTCATAAAAGATAAAATTTTAATATACTGTATTTGAAACATGCATATGGAAAAATTTTCCATACTGCCGGATCAGAATTGTTATGTAATCAAGCTGCGGATTAAGAAACTCATACCTTGAAATGCTGAAATCGGAAAATCGGAAAAACAAACTATTTGTTATATCCGTATTAGCGGATAAATGTACCGAAATTTGTTTGGACAAGAATAAAATTTCTCTTGTTTTACCACTTGTCATACGCGCACAATGTCTTAAACAATATTTCGATATATTTCGATAAATATAGTAGCCACTTTTTGTTGTGGTGAATTATTCTCGGATGGTGATGTGCTTAGAAATGTGATGTATCCATAGTGATGCGTCAAAAGATATGATGAATCCGTAGAAAGTGATATCGATGGAGGAGGTGATGTACCTACAGAATGTGATGTAGCAACAGAAATTAATATTTCCGCGGATGATCTATACTGAACATACAGAGAAGTATATACAAGCACACAAATCTATTCGGAATTGCGTACATAGACCTTCATCAAAGTTGTATATATTAAAAACAAAAAGAAACACGATCTCAAAACACTGAAGCTGTACTCTTCCTACGAATTATTAATTGCCAACTTCAATCTCAATGATCTACTTTTGGCACTTATACAATTATCCCCCACTAACACTTAGACCTTAACTCCATGCTAATTTTCATCCTTGTGCATTGCACTTTTTTTGATACCGATAATCTCAACAGTGGTTGGGGTAAATCACAGTCTACATAAATGTGAAAGAAAGGTATTGTATATACAGTAAAAGAGAAATACCCGTAGCCAGGAGATGTTGGATAATGTTGAATGAGCTTGTATGGGAAAATCCGAGATACTGAAGTCCAAATTTTTGTAATTCTAACTTAAAAAGAAATAAGGTTGTTATTGAAATCATTATTATTATCTCGTCATATTGATTATAAAAATTACCATTATAGTCATTATTATTGCCATTGTAAAAGTTATAACACGTCTTCTCAATAAAAAACAACTAATATTCCCCGGGAATGTTAGATTTAATCTCATTTGATTCAATCTAATATAAAGTTTATTGATAATTTGCATCCATTCATTTTTTTGTATGTATGTACATTAAATCTATGCAACTCCCATTTTTCGAGACCTATAAATAACACGTTGATAAAAATTGATTAACCCTCGTAAATTTATGGACAAACTAAATGTAAATGTTATGCCCGTTCAACTTGAACACACGTAGGCTTTGTTCATTAGCGCAAAGTTGATAAACTCATTAAAAACCAACCTGCTTCGTGTGCCTCTGAATTATATCATCCGTAGACGCGAAAGGTGTTTTATGCACGAAAAGAGAATATTCTCTGATTCTTCTTTTGTATCACGATAATCAATGTTAGTGTAAATGATGTTTGGTCAATGAACAATTAAAATCATCAGAAAGACAACATACTGTACATCGATCGATCAATTTGAACACCAAATTGAACTTCGTAGCTCTGATATTAGCCTCCTTTTATACACGTAATCCATATGTATTGTCAATTTACCATATCATTTAAACTAAACTATCAGTCGGGGTCTCCGTATGACAATATCCCTTATCCTACTCTTTGAAATTAGTATAAAAAAGCTATTTTGTTTTATTAACAAATAATAAATCGACGTCGCTTGATCTATCATCTCTGATTTTGATTTCCTTTGCATAGGGCACAAAGACAAGTGCTCGAGATAAACATAACTGGTAGGCGTGTATGTCAAGTATAAATGGATACGATTGAGTCCTCGGGCAAAAAACCTATATGTACCGTTACCAGTAAAGTAATGCCCGATTTTAATATACAGTAATTTACGTAAGAAAATAAGGCATTAATTTTGCTGGTGACTGTACATGATCCTTCGTCTACGTATCAACATCTGATCTTTCATCGCGCTACTAAATTAAATAGGTTCATTAAAGGGAAAGTTTTATAAGCGGCGATAATGGAAATAGTTCGACAGAAGTTACCAAATTTTTTTCTAAATTTTTTTTGATTTTCGTGGATTTTAAGATTACGATGTGCTGAATAAATCTAACATAGGTGATTAGAAATCTTGTGATTGCTAACGGCGAGACTCATGTTTCCAGTACTCCTTTATAAATAAACTAATTTCATAATTATTGAAGATTAAGTTGTCGACTTTTTTTTTTTCATTCAATAATCCTTCCTAAAACAAGCACCCATAGTATAAAGTTTTTTATATCGAGTTTTCCTAACATTATCTTTTCATCCTCACATTTATTTTCACTTCAATTGACGAAAAATTTTCTTATACTGTACGATTAGAATTTTTTTAATATATGAAATGCCCAATCATTCGTTTTTCTAAATCAGGCCACATATTGCGTGATCGTGTGATCTGTAATTATGCGCCAACGTTGATTACGTAATACAGGGTCATCATTTTTCCGTTGCGAAAAAATATATACAATTTTTGAATTAATATTTTTATGATTTAATAAATATTAAATAAACTTCAAAAAAATATCTTTATAATTATAATAATAATATTATTATTAAAGTTTTATTATTAATTATTTTTTGTTTTTATTACAAAATATTGATTTAAAGTATTAAAAAAAATTATAAATTTTATTATCTTTTTTTATATATAAACTTAAGATTATTTTACTATTAAATTTTTTAAAAATTTGAATTTAAAATTAATACAAAATTATAAAAAATTTTATTAAAATTTTTTTACAATATATAATATAAAACAAAACCATTTAACATAAATAAATACACATATATATATTTCTTAAATATTTTTTTTTTTTTTTTTTTTAACGTTGATAAACATCAGTTCTTTATTTTCTGTATATACTAAAATATAACTATGAGAAAGAAC